CATGGGTAGACTCTAGCCAACCATCGACATCCAAAGACCAAAGAGAAATATTCATGGCCACAAAACAATGCTTTGCATTTGGTGGGATATGCACGGCGTCGTTTATTATGAGCTACTCAGACCGAACGAAAGTATCACGGGGGATCGATATCAATCACAATTAAACCGTCTGAATGAAGCATTGTTGGAAAAAAGGCCAGCAGTAGCCAGCAATCGACGTAAAGTCATGCTTTTGCACGACAACGCTCGACCACACGTTGCCAAAGCCGTCAAAGAAACATTGATGCAGCTCGAGTGGGAAGTTCTCCCGCACCCAGCGTATTCACCAGACTTAGCTCCTTCGGACTATTACTTGTTCCGGTCGATGCAGCACGGCTTGGTGGATACACACTTCAGGAATTACGAGGATGTGCGAAAATGGATCGACGAATGGATTGCATCAAAAGACCAATCGTTCTATCATCGCGGAATTTACGCGTTGCCCGAAAGATGGGAAAAATGTATAGCTAGCGAGGGAAAATACTTCGATTAATGTATTTTTTGCTTTTGATATCGAAATAAATAAGTTTTTTAAACAAAAAAACCGCAGGAACTAAGTTTACCACCTAATATTTACAAAATATTTTTGTGACCTTAAATTCAATATCCATACAGCACAGATCTTGCTGCAAAATTTCAGCAACATTGTGGCAACACTACTGCAACTTTTAACATTGCTGTAACGTTGCAGCAATATTGTTGCAAGATCTGTACTGTAGATGAAAAATATTTATCTCAAATATTATAAAAATATTTATTAAAATATATATATTTATAAAATATATACATTTTTCTCTTTTCCTGAATTTTTCTTAAAATTTCCATTTTATTGTTTCACACCCTATTTAATTGAATTTAAATTGTACTTTGAAAATTTGCTTTCCATTGTTGAGATTCGAATTTCTTATTTTTTTATTAATTTAATAAGTTTAAATAATTATATTTATTTTTTTTATATATAATATTTGTAAATAGATATATTTACAAAATATTACTACAAATATTTTTTTTTCGTTTGCTATAAATATTGTACAATATTTAGTCTGTATTTTAATAATATTTTCAATAAAGATTTTGATACTTTTTCGTTCATGTATATAAAATATTTATATTATATTTATATAATATTTTTAAGAAATAATTCGAACTAAATATTTATCATACATATTGTGTGCTGTCTGAGAAACGCACTACTTTCTGCACACCAAAGAACCGTATTCGTACTTAAGGTTCCTGCACATTCGGAACTCAGGCTTCAATTTTTTGGCAGCCGCTTGGATTGGGATGCTAAAAGTTGCGAACAGTTGCACCATTTTGCTTGCAATTTAAATTAAAGAACGGTCAAGATTTACGCAGTCTGCAGCTTGGTGTTCGCAACTGGATATACAGAACGATTAAATTATGTATCGGATGCATCGGGTTGTATCTGTTGCGAATAAAAGAACACACTTCTACTGCCATTGGCTTAGTTTACATCGTGCACTTGATACGCGTACTAAATAGTAACTTTCTAATAGAAAGTTACTATTTAGTACGCGTATCAAGTGTACGATGTAAACCAAGCCATCGTAGACGACGCATGAGACTGCGTTCGCTTTGGGCGTTTACGCGCTGTAAGCGTCATTCTATTTTTATCGCTCATTACATGCGGGAAGAAGATAGAATGACGCTTATAGCGCATAAGCGCCCAAAGCGAAC